GTGGTTGCCGTGGTTGGGAATCGAACCTACGACCTGAGTACTGCCAGGCGGAAGTGCTAACCATGATTTTAAAGCCACATGTCAGTGTGACTTCAGGTGCCGCTTGGCTGACATCTCTGCGACTTCATGCACAGATATCTATGCGAGTCGCACCTGAAATCGCAAAAAAAAGTTTGTCGAATCGGTGCAGCACTGCTAATTCGAAGTCTCACTTGATTTGAACAGTTCCATCGCAGACAGTAGGGTGCGACTTGTCATATGATTTGAAACTGTCAAAGCGCATGACAAGTTGCACTGGGTGCGACTTGCAAATTTCATGCTAAGTCGCACCCCATTGTCCGCAATTACAGCGTTCATATCAGGGTGGTTCCGACTTACTTCACTGTAAGTCGCATGATTTCAAAGTCAGGCTTTATGTGACGGGGGGGGGGGGGGGGGGGGGAACCCAAATTGGACCTGAAAGGTAACGAAAACTTACTTGCAACTTTGTATCAGTCCTTATTGTTTTATAATACAAGGTCATCTTCATAAACCGTCACTAAACTTTAATGACACATAATTCTGATGAAAGGGGAGCGCTTTTATTTCATTATATTTGTGTTCTCTCACCTGTGCATTATTCCTGTCACTATCTTGCTGAATATTTGGGAAAATTCAATAAAGCTGGAGGTATGGCCCTATAAAATGGCCTGTGCCAGATTTAAAAAAAATCGCTGTTACCCGTTTCAATAGCATTTGATGCTATTCCTGCACCAAATTCCAAAAATAATTACCTCCAGGACATAGATGGTGAAACCGGAGGTGATTAAGACCAACTTTACCTTGGCATACAGAGACAGGCAGGCAGAGTGCCGCTGTTTGCCACTGCTACCCCCCCCTCCTCTCTTGTCACTGGGTATTAGGGCAGTGGGTGGAGCCTGATGGGGATTTTGGAGACACTAGTCCCCCATCAGGTCCGCTCCCCTTGTGATTGGCAGAAGGCAGAGGACGGATTCCACAGCCAATAGCAAGCTGTGTATTGGCCAGCTAACCGCCCACTGCCTGCTGTCAATCACAAGGATACCTTTTCTCATCAACAGCGTATAGAGCAGTTTTGTGACTTCTATCAGTGTCCGGCAGAGCACTGGTTAAAGCTTGTAGGAGGAGTTTTCATACTGCTTTGACTATCCTATCAGTATGCATAACCCCTGACCCTCTGTCTTGACAGTGCTGATTGGCCCTGTGCTGATCACATGCACTGTCAAGGGGAAAAAAAAAAACTCTCTAGCAATACACACCAAACTGAGCACATGCAGCTGCCCCCCAAGGCTCTGTTCTATTAGCAGATGGATTGGGGACCGTAGAAGGGGAGGATCAGAGAAGGCAGGATCAAACAGCCTTTTTACAGAATGCGGAGGATTAACCCCTAAGGTTCCACAGTGAATATAACAAGCTTGCTTTACTGCATATACAGACTGATTTCACTGTTGTGGGTTTAGTAACACTTTACCACCTCAGGGAGGGCATAGATGATGCTGGATGTCCTCCCCAGTTCATGCCCCATAGCTGAGGATCACGGGAAATAATTTTTTTCTAATAACCCTCATCTCCACCTAGTGGCCATAATGCGGTATTACTCCCTTTTTTTTTTTTTTTCTTTTTTTTTTTTTTATGAATTAACAGTCAACCTGTAGAAAAACAAAACATTCGATTTGGCTCAGAATGAATGCACCAGCAGCTTCGCTAGACAAATTGCTATATTTTTTTTTTTTTTTTTTAAATGCACCCCATAGTGTTGTGTTCAACCAATCAGATGTTGGGGAGGGAGGGGGCGTGGGCAAGTCTGTGCACCAATCACTCATGAGGAGGAAGATTTAACAATTTTCACTGCACCTTAATAAATATTATAATTTTCAATGATCGTTCATTCACCTCTATTACAGCTTCTTCACGGGTCACTCCTCAACATTCATGAAAGTGTCCAAGAACAACGGTGTTATTTATGACACTCTCCTTGACTGGTAAATATTTTGGATATTTCTGTAGTAGAAAATGCTTCTTGATCATAAACCAGGATTATTCTACATCTTGTGGTCATCTCTCTTTACTCTGGAGAATGCAGTTTTTCTCATTCAGTACACTATGGATGTCACATTGGTGTACATATACATGCATCCAGCAATACAATGGGCGCATAGGCGGCTGCTGAATGAGTATTAGGGATAAGCCCCCGAATTTTGGAGGTTTGGCAAACAACCAAACTAAATGGCTGCTTAGCCGAACCGTATCGCTGGCTGCAGCTGGAAGTCACACATTTAGCAGCAGAAATGGCAGATTTCTGCTGCTGTTTGACATCCAGCCAGGGGCGGACTGATCATTCCAGCGCTTGGGACAGTAGGGGGCCCCATGAGATGCCCCTGGTACCTTTTTCATAGGCTTTTTTTGAGTTTGGGCAAGGACATGTGCCCCGTGAGTTGTCAGTCCGCCCCTGCTTCCAGCTGCAGCCAGCGGTTTGGTTCAACTCGGCTAAGCAGCCATTTAGTTTGGTTGCTTGCCAAAGTTCCCCTCTGGCTAATTAGAAAGCTGGTGGCCACATAATCAGTGACTTGTCCCAAAAAAGGAAAAAAACTATTCCAGACCCTTCAGGGCTGGTATGGACTTTAAGGGGGATCACACACAATAAAAAATGCAGCACACACCCCCCCCCCCCCCACCACCACCACCACCCTTCCCACAAACACAGCAAAAGCGCATCAAAAATGCACCTGCGGTTGCGTTTTTTTTTTTTTTTTTTTTTTTTTTTTTTTTTGTTTAAGTCCCATCCTTTTTTTCACATATACAAAACATACTGATAATGCAGCAAAAACGCATATGCGTCTTTACAGCATTTTTTGCAACAGAGCAGTGTGAGAGCAGCCTTTAAAGAACGTTAAGGCTACGTTCACCCTAGCTTTGTCAGCCGGCATCAGACAGGCGTTTGGGAAGCATTTTTAAACTCTTCTCCAACTCCTCCCAAAATTCTGCACATGGCAGCACACAGTGCATTAGCGTCACATCGCGGCAAAACTGATGCCTCTGGTAGAGTCAGGAGGAGTTGAAGCCTCCCATTAAAGTCTATGGTGCCGCTCTGCAAACGCCTGGCCGACGTGTGCTGTTGTGAGGCGTTTGCGGAGCGTTAATACCATTTAAAAAAAACAAAAATGATGTGGCGCTAATACCATGTAAAACCCCAAAAAATTAATGGATAAAATAATAAAAATATTAATAATGAATAAAACACAAATCATACAAAGTGATAATAATGACAGGTGTCTATAACACTCACACAAAACGCGTGCAAATATAGTACATAAAAGTGCCAAAATAGTCCAAATGGGACCAATCAATGATGCCCAAAAAGATCCTAAAATTGGATGCAGAGGTGATTTGAAAAACAAACTAAAACTTAAGTCAAATGCAGGCCATAGACGGGTCGAAAAACCGGCCGTTTTTTAAAAAACAAAACAAAAAATCAGTCGTTCAATAGGCCGACGTTACCACCAATGGTAAAAAAAAAAATCGGATGATTTTTGTCCCGTCTACGGCTGGCATTTAATTACTTCTGTCCCTGCAGAGAGCTCTATTATATTTGACATGTAAAAGTATAGCGGTGGCAACAATGTATCCATTTCAAATACAAATGTTTTTATTTGGATACAAATAGATACATTGTTGCAACTGCTATACTTTTTCATGTCAAATATAATAGCGGACTGGAATTCCTTCTTTCCCCCCTGTCCTTCCTTCTTTCCCCCCTGTCCTTCCTTCTTTCCCCCCTGTCCTTCCTTCTTTCCCCCCTGTCCTTCCTTCTTTCCCCCCTGTCCTTCCTTCTTTCCCCCCTGTCCTTCCTTCTTTCCCCCCTGTCCTTCCTTCTTTCCCCCCTGTCCTTCCTTCTTTCCCCCCTGTCCTTCCTTCTTTCCCCCCTGTCCTTCCTTCTTTCCCCCCTGTCCTTCCTTCTTTCCCCCCTGTCCTTCCTTCTTTCCCCCCTGTCCTTCCTTCTTTCCCCCCTGTCCTTCCTTCTTTCCCCCCTGTCCTTCCTTCTTTCCCCCCCCTGTCCTTCCTTCTTTCCCCCCTGTCCTTCCTTCTTTCCCCCCTGTCCTTCCTTCTTTCCCCCCTGTCCTTCCTTCTTTCCCCCCTGTCCTTCCTTCTTTCCCCCCTGTCCTTCCTGTCCTTCCTTCCCACGCATACAGATTTTTTTTTTTTTTTTTTTTTGTTTTTTTTTTTTTTTTTTTTTTCAGCCTACAAATCGGCCGATATTCGACCAGTCTATGGCCTGCGAAAGAGTCCAAACTGGGACTGCACACACAAGTGCTACAACACCCCCCCAAAAGAATGCACTAAGGCAAAGATCCCAATCCACATACAAACAAAACAATGTGTCACTTAGAATTAGCAAAACGGTGCATGTGTGATAAGACCATAATATCAAATAGACATAATGTGTTTTCAAAGAATAAAAATGCATAACACAAAAAGGTAAAAATGGAACACGTATAACAAACAAGTCCCGGGAGGTGAATAACACCTATAAAGTATCAAACTCTTTGAAGGTGAACCAAAAGGTGATGACAGGTGTTATGATGATATCCAAAAATGACTGCAATGCCCGCTCACCTCCTTGTTTTGACCCACACAGGGCCAAAATGCCTTTAGGATCTCTACAATGGATCCATCATGCATGGGACTCCTCCAAACTCTCCACACTGATCTCCCCTCAAGTATAGGCTCCAAAGACTAGATCTCCTCTCCAGGCGGATATGCAATAAGTGGCCAATCATTCCATAAATTTTTAGAAGTGATGGCTGTATTCGTTTTCTATTTTTAGGCTTTCTTTCTTCTACCTTAATCTGGTGATCCAGCCAGTAGGTCTGTTGGTTTTCAGCAGAACAAGCCTCCTGTCTGAGGAGCAGCAGGTAGATGAACCTATAGGGGCGTTTGGCAAGAGTTAGAAATAAAGTCAAGTGTGAATGAGCCCTAACTGAAGTGTTTTTGTTGCAGGGTGTTTGAAGTACGGCCCAGTTGTCCGTCTCAATGGCTTACACAAGGTTTTCATACTTGTTACTGATCCTGAAGGAATAAAGGTAAGTACGGACCAGGGGCGGACTGACCATTTGAGCACTCGGGCACTGCCCAAGGGCCCGGGATCAGTAGGGGGGGGCCCCATGAGATTCCCCTGGTACCTTTTCATAGGCTTTTTTTGGGTGTGGGTGAGGACACACGGGCCCCATGATACCTTATTGCCTGGGGGCCCCATGAGTTTTCAGTCTGCCCCTGGTGTGGACCCTGCACCTGTCATCCAAGACCACACTCAGATCCCCTCTACTGGTAGGACCTGGATACTGCAATCGTCTTGACGAATTATTCTGCATTTCCTATTGATTTAGGAACTCTTGATGTCGTCAAAGCACCCGAAGGACCAGTTTTTATGAAGAAATATTCTACTTGTTTGGAGTACGGTAAGTGGCACAGACAGGATTATAACTGAGAGGGCTCCTGTGGCAAAATGTAAAAAAGGTACACCACCCCCCCCCATCTGCTGCCTTTGCATCTTAAGGGGAGCAGCTGTGGTGGGGGTGGTAAAACCGCAGCTAAGCCATGTGTTTTTTACTGCCCCTCAACCACAAGTGTAAAACTAGCCTTATAGACTCAACCAGCATATTAAAGTAAATGAAGAAAAAGGTCAAGAAATACAAATAATGCTTTATCTATAGAATGTGGTGTGTATGCACAGGTGGTGAACAAAGGGGGGGGGGGGGGGGGGGGGGGGGGGGTCGTCAAAGTAGCTGATCTGGTTACAGGGGTTTTGGTGTCTATGTTTTTAGGCACAAAATCATTTAGGAAAGTATAGAATCTAGGATTCAGGGGTTACAGCTAGGGTTAAGTGCAGGGGCAGACTGACCATTTGGAAGCTCGGGCACTGCCCGAGGGCCGGGGTCAGTAGGGGGTCCCATGAGATGCCCCTGGTACACTTTTTTTTTTTTTTTTTTTTTTTTTTTTTTTTCTTTTTTCACAGGCTTTTTTTGAGTTTGGGCAAGGACACAGGGGCCCCATGATCCCCTATTGCCCGGGGGCCCCATGAGTTGTCAGTCCGCCCCTGGTTAAGTGTTACATTGGGGTTTGGATTAAAGGTTAAAGTGACACTATACTCTTAAAAGATTATTCAAAATTCCTTTTTAAAAAAAGTTTCCTCCCAAATTCCTGGTTTTTGCTGCTGCGATCTGACTTACTGTTGAAGGATGGCTACGTTCGTTCTCCATGGTCCCACTGTAGGAACGTAGCCAGCCTCTCTTGATGAACTATAGACTACTATGGGGTGTGTAGAACAGTGTACATGACTGCAACTAATGTTCACTGCTCGTTCCAAGCAAATGGAAGTTGAGGGGGAAAAGGTTTGGGAGCTCATGGAAGATGTTACAAGCAGGCAGAAAAACACAGTAAGAAACAATTGAATAGTAAATAGATGACAGGGCTATAAAGTAGTGGATTGTGTATTGGAGAACAATGATATTGATTTGTGGTGGTGTAGGTGGTCTATGGGTAATTGGGGCCACATTCACACAGATGATTAGGGCCATGCCTGCCAAGCATCAGCATATTTCTGCACAGGAAGTTATCAGCTAACTGGATTTCTGGCAGGTTTTTTTTTTTTTTTTTTTTTTTTTTTTTTTTTAAATCTGCATTTATTGAACAGATTGAGTACAACCCTTTTTGGAGTTGATTTATTAAAGACAAACTGCACTCTGCAAGAGCAGTTGCTCCAGAGCTTAGTAAATGAGCAGAAGCTCTGCTGACTTCCATTGTCCAATCATGTGCAAGCAACATTTTTTTTTTTTTTTTTTGTAAATTTTTCCTTGCCTGTGATTTGGGAGTTCTTTGCAAAGTGAAGCTTAACCTCCATCTAAGCTGTGGAACAACTGCACTTGCAGAGTGCACAGCCCATTTGCCTTTAGTAAATCAACCCCTTTCAATGGTATATTTAACCAAGGCTTTTTCTCCGCAGGAATGCGGGGGGGAATGCAGTTCCAGCACTGAATGTATGTAATGGCAAGGGCAACTGGGGTGTGCTGGAGAGTCTATTGATGTTGGCTGTTGGGGGATATATTGTTGCTGAAGGGGATCTATTTTTGCATAGTGGTGTATTGTTGTTGGAGAGGTCTATTGTTATGGAGGGGGTCAGTTATTGCTGGAATGGATCTACTGAGGGAGGGATCTATTGTTGCTGGCTGCTGGGGGATATATTGTTGTTGAAGGGGATCTATTTTTGCATAGTGGTGTATTGTTGTTGGAGAGGTCTATTGTTATGGAGGGGGTCAGTTATTGCTGGAATGGATCTACTGAGGGAGGGATCTATTGTTGCTGGCTGCTGGGGGATATATTGTTGTTGAAGGGGATCTATTTTTGCATAGTGGTGTATTGTTGGAGAGGTCTATTGTTATGGAGGGGGTCAGTTGCTGGCTGTTGGAGTATATTAATGCTAGCTTCTGGGAGACCTACTGTTGTTGCTGGGGTAGTATTTTGTTGCAGGGATCAATTGTTGCTGGGGGGGCTTTATTGTTGCTAGGGAATCTATTGTTGCGGGGCATCTATTGGTGCTGGCTTCAGGGGACTTAGTTTCCATTTTATACTGTTCTTGTTATTAAATTACTTGGCACAAAAAAATGATACTTGACTCCATATTCTTTAAAAGGAGCAGTAGTTGAAGGTGGGTAGGGACCAAGGGACGTTCCTCGAAGGTGGGTAGGGACGTTCCTCGAAGGTGGGTAGGGACGTTCCTCGAAGGTGGGTAGGGACGTTCCTCGAAGGTGGGTAGGGGGCGTTCCTCGAAGGTGGGTAGGGGGCGTTCCTCGAAGGTGGGTAGGGGGCGTTCCTCGAAGGTGGGTAGGGGGCGTTCCTCGAAGGTGGGTAGGGGGCGTTCCTCGAAGGTGGGTAGGGGGCGTTCCTCGAAGGTGGGTAGGGGGCGTTCCTCGAAGGTGGGTAGGGGGCGTTCCTCGAAGGTGGGTAGGGGGCGTTCCTCGAAGGGTGGGTAGGGGGCGTTCCTCGAAGGTGGGTAGGGGGCGTTCCTCGAAGGTGGGTAGGGGGCGTTCCTCGAAGGTGGGTAGGGGGCGTTCCTCGAAGGTGGGTAGGGACCAAGGGACGTTCCTTGAAGGTGGGTAGGGGGCGTTCCTCGAAGGTGGGTAGGGACCAAGGGACGACCCTTGAAGGTGGGTAGGGGGCGTTCCTCGAAGGTGGGTAGGGACCAAGGGACGACTCAGAGGAGGGGAGTTCCTGCACCTATTCTCCTTGAAGAAAAAGCCCTGTATTTAACAGACCAAAAGGAAGGAATAAGAAATGTCCATTGTTTGGTATGATATATATTTTGTTCATCCAACAATCCGTCTCTTCTGCTTTCCACCTACATTAGATTCTTGGGGAAAGGATTACTGACTGACCGGGATTATGAGCACTGGCATACGCAGAGGCGACTGATGGATCCTGCCTTCAGCCGATCGTAAGTAACCCTCTCCAGTAATATTACATATGTGGGTGGGCAATGTGCGGCCCAATGCATGGAGCAAAAATCCTAGAGGAGAAAATAGCTGCAGAAACCAAAAGGCAGAAGAAATATTCACCCTTTATGATGTACAATAGTTTCCTGCAATGAAAATGCTCTATGAATGAAGAATGGAAAGGTCTGCCTCCTCCATTCATTTTTATTACGTGAAGCGATACTACAGCGTCTATGAATGGAGTCGGAGGGCAGGCAGGCATAATCAGCACTTCTTTTGAAGAGATCCTGTGACCGGTCCAGTGGTTCATATTAACCACTACAGCACTGGGAGATCTCAGCTGCAAGGGTATGTGGGGTTGGGGGAGGGGGAGGGGCACAGAGGACTGAGGATTTCAAAGGAGAGCAGCCACCAGCGCAAAAAAAACACTTCTCATTCATTGTAAGTACTGTCCCAGATGCTGATTTAAGTGGTTGTAAACCCTAACATACTATATACCCAGTGAAGTGACTGGCCTCAGGTGATATACAGATGCAAAACAAATCCTCCTACATAAGTTGTACCTGTTTACCTGCTGCTCTCTCTCCTCTATCAGAATATATACACTTGTCAAAGGGAACGAGCTGAAATTACATACTGCAGAGCTCCGTGAGGAGAGCTGATTGAAGGGAAAGGTCACCCACGTACTCTCACTCATATCTTTCTAACCGGCAGCACAGTGGCTAAATGGTTAGCACTTCCCCCTGGCAGTACTAAGGTCATTGGTTCGAATCCGAACCACGGCACCACCTGCTTGGAGTTTGCATGTTTTCCCTGTGCCTGCGTGAGTTTCCTCCCATACTCCAAACACATACTGGTAGGTTAATTAACTCCTGTCTAAATTGGCTCTAGTATGTGTATGTATGAATGTAAGTTAGGGACCTTAGATTGTACACTCCTTGAGAGTTAGGGACCAGGGGCGGACTGACAACTCATGGGGCTCCCGGGCAATAGGGGATCATGGGGCCCCTGTGTCCTTGCCCAAACTCAAAAAAGCCTATGGAAAAAGGTACCAGGTCATCTCACCGGACCCCCTACTGACCCAGGCCCTCGGGCAGTGCCCGAGTTTCTAAATGGTCAGTCCGCCCCTGTTGGGGACCTTAGATTGTACACTCCTTGAGGGTTAGGTACTGATGTGACTATACAATATATGTAAAGCGCTGCGTAAATTGACTGCGCTATAAAGAACCTGTAATAAATATGACCGCTGTAATTGCGGACAACTGGGTGCGACTTGGTGTGCGATTTGTAAGTTGCATGGCATGCAAATCACATGCCAAGTCACACCCAGTGTTTAGAGTTTATAAATCCGAGTTGATGTTGAGCCTTTGTTGCAGGTTCCTGATGGGTTTAATGGGGATGTTCAACGATAAAGCGGAGGAGTTGGTGGAAAAGCTGGTGGAGATGGCGGATGGGAAAACAGAAGTTACAATGCATGATATGTTCAGTAAGGTGACGTTGGATGTCATTGCCAAGGTACACTACATTCACCTTAGTGAGCAGAGGGGTACGGGGGGGGGGGGGGGGGGGGGGGGGGGGTAAGGCTCTCGCCCCTCCTGCCCCTCTATATAGAGCAGCAACATAATGCAGTGGATGTCCATATGTTTATATTATCCATGTGCACATTTGACAGGTTGCGTTTGACATGGATCTGAACACCATACATGACAACCAGACGCCGT